TTTGAGCCAGTTAGGACCAGTCTCAGTGTACATCTAGAGGAATTCCAAAGAAATAAACTTACTCACTTTTGAGCAAAATTGAATTTCTGTTCTTTTCATACAGTCCTCTATTATCAGAAAGCAATTTGGTTTTGGACTTGTATTGAATAGTATTTTTGAAACGCGTTCCAAAATATACAGTTACATAAATAATAATTTTAACTTTATGTTATTCTAGAAAAGCACTTGATACTTCCTGTAGACAAATTCCTACACTTTAGAAATTGCTTGCTGTTAGAAGAGCTGCAGCTGCAGCAACTAGAAAGTGTTGAACAATTGTTCAAACTAAGAACTACCTCTTTAGCAATTACCAGGTGTAATTCTGCTTTTGTTTTTACAAGAATAACTTCAGTAAATTGATTTCTGTGAAATATCACCAGAGTTACACCTGTGCAGATATCTTTTCAGTTAGTGGGAATGAGATTTTTGGCTAACCATGGAGTACCCTATAAAACCTTCAGCATCCCCATGGAGCCCATCCCAAAGATGGACTTTTCCCTGTATTAACTTCATCTGGTAATGAATAAAATGAGGAAGATCTTCTGGTCTTAGTAACATGTTACTGAGGAGAGCCAGCTATGGTAACTATGCTCATGTACACCCAGGCAGCAGCAAATGGTTAGAGTCCTGCAAGTTGACTTAGTTCGCAATGGAGATAAAATGACTTGAAATACTCAGTATTTACTACAGGCTAAGAGTGGATGTATGGCAGCTTACAGTGGACCTCTGATGCACAGTAACTTGTTATCTTACGAAAATCCATTTGCAATGGGAGTTTTAACCACAGAAGAATTCTGTCCTTTAAAAATAGGAATACTGCAAAGATTTAAAAACTAACCAACCAACATAATTTTGTCTAAGCAGACCATGTAAACTGAAGTAAAAATTAATTCTCCCTTTGACTTAAAAAGAAACAGGAACAGCACCCTGATTTGAACAGTTTATAGTCTAAACCACAGGAATAAAACCAGAGAGGGAACGAACTACTTCAAAACAGGTAGAGTAATCTCTTGATACTCTTTTCTGTTAAAATCTCGTAAGTTCTAAAGAAAATGCACATCTAATATAGGAGATTTTTAAAAGTGGCATGCAGATTTTTCGAGTTTTTTTTACAAGGCAGATTAAAAAAAAATAACAAACAACTGCTAGGCCCTGTTCTACATAGCATACAAATTCCCAGTTCTCCTAGATAACTCCTGAAAAATGAGAATACTTTTATTTGTTTAATATGAAGAAAGTACACAAGTGTAACTGTGAGCAGATCGAGCATTTGGGTTTGGATGCAGGTCCTGCAGAACAGCTGTGGCTGTTGCAGTTGAAGGGCAGAGTCCTCACAGCATTAGCACAGTACGCCAGCTTCAAGATCTCTATAAGTTTTGATGTTTTCCAAATCATATCTGTAACATTTTTGCTTTCTTTTTAAAGTACAAGGGTTGCATATACACTCATTACACCAGCCATAGCTCCTTAGTTCTTAATACACTTAAACAAAATCAATTCACATAGTGTAACACTAAATTTCCCATCTATGTTCATCTTCCAGAACATATTTAGTAAAATTCATAATTAAAAAATGGTAGTTTTTCTCCAGGACCCAGTTTCTACAGACATAACAAACAAACAAAAGGAAAACCTGAAACCATTCTTCCAGCTCTTTCTGGGCAAATTAAGTGAACAAAGTTTACATATGAAAAACTGATTTCCTTGGACAGTCACAGGTATAAACTTCTAAGAAAATTAATATCTGTAATATCAGATCTATAATTACATGAGTTGGCTTAAAGGATATGAAGCATTCAAATTTTGAGCCAAATTTTTGGCAATTTGTGGCAATCATGAAGTCTTGATTCTGCCACTGAGTTCAATAGAGAAAAATTTCTACACAATTTTTTGTGAAGATTATTTGCTTTTGTTGGTGGAGTCTGCAACCATAAGACAAATCATATCTCATAAATTCTTGTGACATATTAGTAACAGGCCAGATATTTTTGGAAGAATGTATTTTTTGTTCTGACTATGTGACAAATGGAAGCACATGAATGTAGACTGGGTTCTGGAGAAACAGATTTGGTTAACATAAGAATAAAGGAAAAGAATAAGTAATGTCTAACTAAGCTTGTCCATATGCTGAGGTAACCTTAAATATCTTTGGTTTTCTTTATTTGCTGATAAAAAGTACCTTAATAGAACATGAAGTGATGAGTGGAGTTCTTATGCACTGCTCTCATACACTGAATATTTTCAGCTCTTTGGCTATTGAAATTAAGAGCATCCTTATTAGACTGAAAGTTTTATCTGAAGTCTGTTTCTCTCAAATTATCCAGGGTTTAAACTACAGAGCAGGTCTCTGGAAGAAAAGGTTTAATATTTAAAGTATTTACTTGTAATGAAGGTCATAAAATTACATGTGATTATCAGTACTTACAGCAAACAAGTCTTTGGAGAAGCAGTTACCATCTGCATATCAGCTTTTTCTGAACAAAACTAACAAACGAGGCTACTCTGAAAGATGAAGTGTGAAACTTCACGCTACAGTTACACATTCTTAATCTAGTTTTGATTAATTCACACTTTTCCTAACTAGAAACAGTACTCTGCTGTACACTAGACATTCTGCATGATGAGACCAAAAATAAATCTTTGGTGAAAAGGTTTCCTTTTTCTTCAGCAAGCAGATAAAAAACCATTCAAAAATATTTTTTTTTTAATACTGTTTTGTTGATCAGCTACATGCTGGAGAAAAAAAAAAAATTGGAAGTCTTTGGAGATATCTGCTGGTATTATTATAACTTTCTTTAAAGGCTTTTGTAACAAAAAGGTAGTTAAAATTGTAGAAGCATACAACTCCTCTATGCAATCAACTACTACAATCAAGAAGCCCTAGTGGTTTTTGTTAGTAACTACTTACACAATAAAATGTACTCAGCTCTTCAAACCTATAGGTTTTAACTAGTTCAATTCTTTTGGGACAATATGTGGCTTCCTTCTCTTCTACAGAAAAGTCTTTGGTACAAGATTATTTTTAAAGCATTTGAATCCACACCGTTATGAAAAGGTGAATGCATACAGTCTGGTTCAGAACTAGCAAACAGGTACAAGGCAAAGAACTACAGTAACTAGAGGCTGATTTATCAACACAAGACAGACAGAACTGTAGGGCTTACTGACGACTTCTGACCACCTTTTGATACATGAGGAACGAGAAAAAACTCAGCCTGGCCTGCCTTAAGGGTGACATCTTGGCCCGAGTAAAGTCAATGGGACTTCTGATAGGTTTAAACAGAGCCAGGAGTTCCTATCATTGCTTTCTCACAACATTACATTTTAAACTTCTTCTTTTTTTAGTAAAAACATATGCTTTTTTTTTTTTTCTTTTTTATAAAGTAAAGCAGGGAAAGACGACGAGTGGGGAAGAGGATTGGATATAGATAAAGTCAAGTTTATAACATTGGATGATTCCAACCTCTTCCCTCTCTCTCCCTCTCTCCTAGTAAAAAAAAAAAAAAAAAAAACAAAAACATGATACCCTGTCCATTTGCTCCACGTTTCCGTGAGGCAGTTCAAAAGTAACAAACTGTTCCCTGAGTACAGGAAAAAACAACAACAACAAAAAAACCACAAACTCTTAAAGGAGGTAGTATAAAACGGGAATTGCATGGGTTCAAGGCAGTAGCATTGCTCACCTCTTTCAACAAACTCTTCAACTGAAGCTCTGGCTTCTTTATTTCTCACAGTAGTCTCATCAGAGTTTTAGATTGGCATGTGAGTAAAGTCACTCCCTGAGCTAAAATTCCTGGCTAACAGCAGGGCTGCATCCTAACAACATCTCTGAGACATCCTGAGATGCTAGCAGTGCTTATCAGCACCCAAAGCTGGGTAAAAATGATAAATTCACGATACGGTTTACTTAAAACATCGAAGAAGCATTTAAGGCATCTTTCTGTACTCCAAAGCAACTTCATGAATACTAAAAAGGTATAAGGCAAATCAATAATTTCACAATATACAATGCAAGGCACCATTGCTAAGAAGTACTATGATACTGGAATACTCAGAATTATTATCTATTCCATGACTCTCAGGCTGAGTCAAACTATTTGGAAATGCTGAATACTTCTTCGTTTTACCATGCTTTTTAGCATTAGCTGTCAATAAAGGGCCAACAATGGTCACCGTGGGGAACCCAGCACGTCCTGGAGCCCTAAGGATATAGCATATATTCTGTCAGCAGCTGCTGCCACAAGTTTCTGGGGGAAAGGCACTGTCTTAGGCTTACTGGGGTTATGAGAAATCAAGAGGTAAAAAGGATTTCATGTGGCTGTATATGTGGAATCACCAACTCCCGTTTCCCAGCTTGTAACATCCTCTATATCAACCACATTAAATCTTTACATTTTATACTCTGAGGTTTCCTTCTTTTTAAAGACAGAGCTTCAGCTAAACAATCTTGTTCACCTACCTATACAACTCCCTGATCACTGAGCGCACACACACGTGCGCACACACACGTATTCAAAACACAACTAAAAAATAAAACCCAAAACCAAAAAAAACCCCACCAAAATAAAAACAACACTACTAGGAAGTATCATCAGTTCCATAGCTGAGACCAACTAGAACACAAATGAGGTAAATTCAGAGTTCACCTCTCGGCAAACTGAGGTAGATAGTCAGCAAAAGGGCCAACAGCCTTCCCTTTGCTCCAGTGACACATTTTTAACTTTAGTCAGAAATCTTCACTGTCTTTTCACATTTGTTGACCACTGAACATTCAAAATGAGCGAGTTTTTAAAAAAACAAACAAACAAACAAAAAACAGAACAACCAAACAAAAAGAAAAAAACATTCAACAGAAATATGGGAACACCTGCTAGGTTAGTCAGGCTTTCCACAATACAACTTTGGCTCCCTGTTCATTGTCCTTTGAACAGCCACAGGCTGCAGGAGTGTCTGGCGTGGCCCTAAGGATGTCCGTTTTGCACCGCGGAGTGTATCTGAAGAGGTGAGGTAGGAGTCTGGTCAGCAGCAAACGGCAGAGGAGACTCCGTGCAGTTACTTATGGCAGGGCTCATCACGCTCGTACCCAAGTCGCTGCTTACAAAAGGACTGGTGGTGGGAGGGGTGGCACTGGTCACAGAGGAGAGGTGTATCTCGTCATTGGACTCGTGAGAAAATCTTCCAGAGTCACCGGTCTCGTGGCTTCCTTCGCTGTTGGCTGAGTGCTCTGTATCAGTAGCAATACTGAATGGTGCCTGGAAACTGGACTGCTGGCCAGGAGAGCTGGGGGAGTCATCCTCACTGATCAGCACGGTGGTCCCTGGCTGATACAGACACACCGCCTGGACAAATCTTCTCTGAGGCTACAGAAAAAGCAGAGAGAAAAAGCCTCTGAAAAGCTGAGCCACAATTTTCATTTTTACTGCATTTCCTATCTGCTATGCCACCAGGGTGCCTGTAAGAGCATTGGCTGAGAACAGTCGGGGCTTTCCTATAGGAGGCTAAAAAGAATTAATCTCAACTCTTGCTCATACTTTTCCATAAAATAGATTAAATAATCCCTTCTAGCTAAGCATAGCTAATCAAGAATCATTTCACTGGTGAGACCTGAACGGCGTTTCAGAAATAAACGTGGTAAAGCTCTCTCCCATCCCTTCATGCATATTCTTTAAGCATGACTCCTTGGGTGGTAGCAAGTATTTTTCTTAGGCATCAGAAATAAGCAGCTGCTTCTGAAAATATTTTGGAATAAAAATTCACAACATGGATATATCAAGACTTCCTACTCCTTGAACATACTAGAGCACAATACAAGTTACAATTCAACAAACATTAGTTACATGCCCCATAGGTGTGAATTTGCATGAAAGTGTTTGGGATTTGGTTTAACACTTTAGTTTTAAATGGTTATTTTTCTCATCCATATAGCAAATGTGTCCAGAGCAACAGTTTCAGAAGCCAGACATTTCTATTCAGAGCCTTGGTAAATAATTCTATTTCCCTCTTTTGGTTTCTCTTTAGCAAACAAAGTTTTAGTTGTCAGGGTAGGAGGGGATTCTTTATATTTTTTATATTATTTTCATTTATAAATACATATTTAATTTGTATGTATACAAAGTCTCTGAAGATGTAGTCCTGTAGATGCTGTCCACAGACTCAATACACAGAAATCCTTTTGCTCACAGTTAGAAGTTACAGTATGCAACAACTTGGGACAGAAAATGAAATTTACCTTAAGAATTTACTACAAGGTAGAACACCATCAACCTTTACACAACTGAAACTATCCAATTAAAACTTAGACCACTAATTATGCTTTTCCATAAAAAGAAAACTGTCTATCCTGTGTAATATACAGGGTATTGCAGTAAAGACTGTGCATCTCTGCCCATTAGACCAATTACCTCCTCGGTCTTCAACTTCTTAGTATCTTGGAAGAACAGCCACCTTTTCTTGCAGTTAGCCTTTGTGACAGGCCCATAACTGTTAATAATCAGATCAGATCCTCCCTACAACAGAAGGAGACACACAGACATTTCTTTTAGCCATTTAAATTTCTAAGATATTTGAAAATAATCTTTTATTCCCACTTATTGGGTGTACACTGAAAAGGAAGACCAATGAATTCTTAGTATATAGTCTGTGTTCTAATATTCATCTTCTGCTGAAGAAAACTCCAGGCCAGATCCAGTAATCTGGCAAGCCCCCAGGGCAGACCCAACAGCTACAGGACTGCAAATAGACAGCAAAGTATTCAAAGGAGTAGAGCAAGAGCAGTGGCTGGAATGTGACCATTCACAGAGCGGCTGTGCCCGTACTGGGGTCCACCTTCCAGCTCTTGCATATACCCTCAGGGAGCAGCTCCACTCAAGTTCGCTGTATATACAGAACAAGCCTTAAATCAGTATGTCTGCACATGAATATGCACATTAGAGCCATAATACGGCCAATATGGTTTTGTCACACTAGAATCCTGCACTGTAGGATTCTGTGCATCCACTGATATTTCCTGCCATCTAGATGAATTTATAATTTGACCAAATATGAGTTTATAAAACGTAACACTGCTTTACCCGTCAATATACAGAAAAAATATTTTCTTGAATACCTGCTTACTGTACTAGGTGCTGACAAGGACTCTCTCACCTGTCTCCTTGGACTAATAGAGGCCTAAGCAGCCCTAAGTCTATGAAGCTTTTATCCTTTGATGCTATGCTAGAGCCAAACTCTGCAATCTGCAGAATACAGTGTATTGACTCAGATCTCTAGTCGAACTCTCAGGTAAGTCTTGAAACTTTGACCCTGGACTGCAAAACTTGTGCTTGACCCATTAAAAAAAAACTCCAGTAAATTGGGAGTGTACATATTTTGCTGTTGGTAAGGATTCCTCTGTTAGAGCAATGAATTCTAAAGAAAGATTTCTGTCTGGGGAGTGAGTAAAGCCCACAGTACCTTAGCATCGATGAAGCTGTTTCCCACTATCATTGGCAATAAAGATTCTTCATTCTCTGCAATTCCTTCAATACTCTTCTCCGCCTCATTAGCACTGGCTAATGAGATGCTGTTGTGTGACAGCTGGTCTGTGCTTTGCTGCACAGGTTTAGGAGCAGATGCTTTCCTACACAATGTTAAGCAGGAATAAAATTGACCCACAGGAAGAAAATACAAAAATCAAAGTTAAACTTCAAAGCTATTATCAATCAAGTAATATCAGTATATTCCTGGCATTTACATTTTGCTATGTGATACTCCTGACTCTCATGGAATTTAAATGTTACTGCTTGTGACTAAATAACATCTGCTTCCAGTTAATCATATGCAGTAGGCTACAAGCTTATGTGCAACAGGAATTGTCAGGATTAGTAATATTACTTGGAGGAAATAAACACTAATAATATTAAGACCTCTCTACCACACTACACAGAGACTGTCACCCAATCTGTATTTTTTCCTGCACACATGCCAGAAAGCCCTTGTTGCTAAAATACGCTTTCAGACAATTTTTAAATTTATTATTTCAAGTAACTTATATTTGTTCTGATACCAAAGTTATGGGCAGAGTCACTGGGCCAGTTTATTGACAATGAGACAGATGATGGCTTCCACCACTGCAAAGAAACTGCATCATGGAACTAATTTACATCAGAGTTCTTGTCCAGCAATGCAAGTTGCTGAGAGTTAAAGCCTTGCAAACCAGGTCTGAGCAGGATACAAGGTTAAGCAGGAGGAGTAGATGATGTAAAGCAGCCTGCTTACTTGACTTTAAAAAGTGTTTTTTATTTGGAAACATGCCTCATAGCTGTCAAAGTAGCACTGACTCGCTCTCTTGGTCTTTTCTTCTTTTCACTAGAGAAGGGGCTCAGGTAGAGTAGGAATAGCAACAAAGTGCTTTGTTTCCACTGCTGGCAAGAAGAGGTGCAGAGATGGTGTACTTCAGAGAACTTAACGCTCTTGGAGAAGGTGGCACGTCTCAAGAATCAGTGCACTCCAAGAAGAACATAAACATACCTGGCTTTACTGCGATAAATTAAGATCAGGATGCAGATAAGGATGCAGGTCAAGGCTATGCAAACCCCAACAACAATGCCAGTCATCGACTTCTGGTCCAGATGGTAATAATCAGAATAACCTATAGCAAAGAAGAACATAGAAAGAGACAGTAAATAAGAAGAGTTACACCCCACCTCCCTGTCAGGAAAATAATAGGGTTACAGTCACAATCACAGAGACAAATGCTTCCTTTCAATGAGATTTCCAGACGTTCTCTGCCATACATTTTGACACTTTGGAAAAAAAATCCTTTGTAGACAAAACAGAGGCCTGTATGCAGCCCTAGTGTATGAGAGGAAGAAGGAACTGCCTCACACCGCAGCCTCTTTGGTGACCTACAACATGGAGCAGAGGAACCTTCTTCAACCCCTTCCTTACTAGACAAAGGGAAAAGGCTTGGAGAAGTCCAGCCACTGTCACCTAACAGGATTCATTCTGTTTATGCTTTCACATCACATGTCTGTTAACCTAATCCCAAGGACATGACTTTTTGCTTATTCAGGCCTAAAACAGAACTGCATTCCAGAAAGGGAGAAAACCTGAGAAAGAAGAATCCCCATGTTTTAATCACAATTCCATGTGTAGCAACAAGAAAAGGTTAAAAGGTTCATAGACCTGAATAATTACTAGCTCAGCTTCCCAAATAGCTTTAAAATCTGTAACAAGCCACCAAGATAAATCCCATTCTATGTCAGATAAAGACTATGTGTTCTTTCATTCTTATATGGAGAAAGTACTGATGTTACCTTCATTTCCACACGGTAACACAGTTTTCTCCAATGAGCCACAGGTGGGCCTGACTTCATTGGTGAAAATATGTGCTCGTTTATCACTGACTGACAAGTTGATTTGGGTTGCTGGAATACAAGAACCAGCAGATTTCAACAGATTTATTTGAGATGCCACCTCTGCTGGCTGTCTCATTCTAACTGACCCAGTGCTACTGGCATCTCAAGCCAAATAAACTACTTAAAGGAAGTGCCATAGAAGAGTGGCTGCAAAGTTGATATTGATGTAAAACTCCAAACAATTATTTATTCTCATTTGAAAGGTAAATTTCCATATTCTGAGCAAAAGAATTAAACCAGTTCCAAGTTGAACTGAGATAAAAATTTGAAAATGGTTGGTTTCACTTAGAAGAAAATGCTCCACTGTGAGGAATGCCTTGCATACAACAGAATTGTTTACCCAGAAAGCGGTTACAACCTAAACCAATCAGTAATCTTTTCTCTTGATGCTTGTGACAGGAGTAATCAGAACATTGCTACTGACTTGTGGAATCTCCCGAATCCAAGCGTTTAGGTCTCTGATTAGACTCGGACATCTCCTTTGGCAGGACAGCAAGTTCTACTGCATTTGAGAAGGGTCCTTCTCCTACTTCATTGGAGGCTGATATTTTGACCAAGTAGACATTTCCTGCTACAAGGTTTTCCAGCAAAGCCATGGTCATTGCTCCTATGGAAAGATATGATAAACAGTTCCAGTTAGACAACAGCCTGGAGGAACAGACTGAGATTAGACATTGAGGGCCACAGTTTCTTTCCAGTACCACCTCCAAATCTTTTTTGAGGACACTGATAATTTCCATATATTCTAAACTGCATATACAGGGTACCGAATGAACACTGGGGTCGCATGCTTGTCCCTTCTGTCCTTTCTCTCCATGCTACTTGAATACAGCACAGTGTGAAGTGCCAGTATACTTCAAAGCAAAGTCAAATATTGTCTACAATACACAGAGTATTGATCCGTAATCTAACACTAGCTGCATTTCAGTGTGCTAACGTTTATGTTGCAATCTTATCTGTGAGGGAATGCTCCAAGTATTAGCCAGACTTTGAGAAAGAGAGAGCAGCACATTAGACCTCCCTCATACACTAATCTATGTGCCTCTCCTAGGTCCACTGTACCATATGCGTGAATGAAAATTGTCATAACAAAATAATTCAGGCTCAGTTTATCACATTTCAGGTTTAGTTGTTAAAATGAACAGGATAGATTCAGAAGAGTACACTATACCATGCTTTTAAAATAAAATTAATGCCTGTTTAGACCTGCATAGGCTTCCTTGATTACTGTGCATCTAAGCTGTCCTACAAAAAATATTACAGAAAATGTCTTTCTCTCATGCTAAGGATTCATTTCCTAAAGGTCCCTGAAGGCTGGAAAAACAGATTAAGAACATAAAAAGGATTCAATTGCTTTGTCCTTATACAAGCAAAACTCCTACCAAAGTCAGTGAGAGCTTGCCTGTCCAGGGATTGCAGACATCTACTTTAAGTTCCAATTCCAATTCCTTTCTGAAATGCTTGTTTCTTCCTACCATAGAAATATATTGCTTTTCCTTCCCTAAGTAGTGGCAGGAACGAATCTGTCCCTTATTCTCTTCCACATATTCCATTCACTTCCTCAGACTTAAGTCGAAATATCAACCTTTCAAATCAGTTTCAGAAGTCAGAATTTATAGTATCATGACAGCACATAAAATATAAGGTTGTTTTGTTGACAGCAAAGATTATACATTTGGTGAAAGGGAAGCTACTTCAAAAGCTATTTCATCTCTTCCATAAAAAGCACCCATTAGCTGAAAGCATTTGAAGTAAAATGTGAGGTATCTGTAACCAAAGGAGCTGTAATATTTAGCACCAGCAAGGGCGAAAGGTCACATTTCAATATTACAGGCTCTTTCCCACCAGCTCCTTTCCAATCTCCTGCGTTGCTAAAGCAAGCAAGCACTTTGTGCTGATTTACTGCACGCCAAGTGCACGAAGGCTGTAGCGTCTGAGCCACGTGAAGAGAACTGGGGAAAAGGGGGGAGGTGGCTGGAAGATAACTCACATCTCTAGTCGCCAACAAACTGCAGTTCTGTTTTCTAGTTCTGCCATGCCTGACCCAAGCTCAGTCAAATTAGAGGGGTTTGGTTTTTATGTTGGTGGATTGCTACAAATTTTCATGCATAAACTAAAGCCCATGCTAGGACATTTATAGGTGGTAGGCTTGGATTGTTGTTTTTGTTTTGGTTTGGTGGGACTTGAAATATTTTCATTCAGGTGGGGGAGGTGTCTTTGGAGGTATGGGAAAGGAATGGGGTTAAGATTTTGCAACTCATCTGCAGAACAAGTTTAGTGTCATGATAAAATAATGCTCTTTATTGCATAGCGTTAGCTGATCTCATCAGAATAACTGTGTTAAAAAAAAACAAACCCTGCTTCTACCTCAAATTACCTGTGAAAGGACTGTCATAGGACTACCACAGTATTTGCCCAATTTTACCTCTACATACTGATTTTCTTTCACAGACTTTTTCATCTGTACTTTAAGAGCATTACAGATTGTCCTAAAGTGTCAGATGCCCAAATTCCACGCCATGCCTCGAAGCCTAACATACCTGATAATACAAACTTAGTGATTCTGACACTGATGGACACAGTAATACACTGGGATTTAAAGCTCTCCATTTGCTCATTTCCTGCAACACCTTCAGTAAGAGAACACACAAAAATGTGTTATTGCCATCTCCCTCATCCAAAATATCAATGGTAACACACTATTTGAGATGCTGTTCAGTTTCACAGCCAGGGCTGAAGTGTCTTTCCTGCATACAACAAATACAGCATATCATCACCAGAATGACAAGGTTTATATTAATATAAGCTCTGTGAATTTAAATCTGCTGATGCGAGTAAAAATTAATATTAAATTGGTCCTTTAATATGACAACTTCACATCACCGTTTCTTTGAATGATTTTAATAGTGAAAAGACATGGGCTCAATCTTTCCCCTATAGTTAGATGTCATTGGTATTTCAGAGACTAGTTATTTTTCACAGATTTTGCTTAAGATTAATAATAGTCATTTTACTGTTATTCTTCACAGCTGACCACTGTCTTTGAGGCCATTCTGCCCCAGCAGAGACAAAGCAGCACTGCCACCTTCCAAAACAGCCGTTGGGCCCGTCCATCCTCTCTTCAGCAGCAGCACAAAGGACAACTACCGTCCTTGAATTAAAAGAGCTGAGTCTCACTGATGGCAAAATGAATTGTCCTCTGTGAGTGCATGCTCATGAAGTCTAACGAATTTTCTCCACAGAAAATGTAAAGCCCCACTCTCTGCTGTCAGCTAAGATTTCAGCCATGAAACAACACTGAACAATAAAATAGTAACCCTTCCTGGGCAATCCCCTTAAATAATCTGTTCAAGTGTATGCCTTTACTCTGTGCCACTGAGCTTCCCTCTCTGGTTTCATATATTACCAGAACATTATCTGTTCTGAACTGCCTCTGTCCATTTTGAATACAAAGGGAATAGTAAATGCCTTTTTCTTACTTTCTGGCTACAGTAAAAATCTGTTTTTGATGCAGCTCTTCAAATCGTAATAATATTCAGAAAAGTGCCTATAAAAATGTAGACTACATCTACACCTAATCACAAAGATGTGACTGCAGATCATATCACCATGCCCGAGTTACTGTTAGATTAGCTACATGGGGCTCAGTGGTAGAACAGAGCCAGAGTTAAATTGAATTTCCAGAGCAATTTACTGGGAGTAGGGTAAAGTTCATTAAGCAAACTGAGCTAACTGGGTTGGTAGTGATCGACAGAAACACAAGCCCCCGCACCCACATTTATAAATTTATTTCTGCGAGGCATGTCAGAGACTTCAGATTTGGAAGAGTGCATTTACAAAATGAAACCATCACCATCACAGTTACAACAGAACTAAGATGGATGTAATTGGATTTATGAGATGTTTTGGTTCACATGCACACACTGAGCTCCAAAGCAACACAGACAGCCCCTCTGCCCTCACCTTCTGAGTACTAATTGGTCTTTAATACATTTTCATCACAACCATGAGAGTAATTCTAAACTAATTATAACTTTTATGTGAACATTTATATTGACTTCTTTCTTATTGTAGTCCAAGGGAGCTGAAAGTAACAAAGCATGTTATAAGCAGCATCATTTATCCAGTTCATAAGTTTATGATTTTAGTTTACCTTCTCTGTGCAACACTTGCCATTCCCCAGCAACCCAAGACTTCCTGGATGCGTAGAGGATAGTATATCGTGTAACAACTGTTTCAGGACCATCAGGTGGCTTCCAGGAAACCAAAGCAGTGTCATCCTCTATCAAAGTCACCTTCACTCCTACTGGAGGGCCAGATGGTGCTGTGAGAACAGTAACACAATGCTATTAGGCTAACCTAATTGACATGCAATTAAATTGCTCAGAAAGAAACTGATGTAAAGACCTAACAGCTACTGCTATGTCCCCGAATAACAACATATAAACAAACACATACTGCTTCTTGAGAGAAACTCTCCTGTAAACTCTGATCTGGCCAATAGCTTAGATTTTGTAAAAGCAAATTTCAGATCATTCCTTCACCTCAAGAAAGAAACAGTTATTGACAGAAAAAACTATCCTTACACTGTGAGCAGGTACATCCCAGACATTGCAGTGCTGAGAACATGAAATTGAAGTTTTTGATTTTCACTGGCCAAGCTGACAAAAAAGCAAACCAGCAGCTAGGCCAGTAGATTTGTAAATTCTTACATTTCTAAAACTTCTGGTTTTTTTAATTATGTTTTCATAATGCCTAAGAATCAGCCATGCCTCTTCAAAACACAATTTATTTTTTATATTCAAGTTATTTCCATTCAGTGGCTGTTAATGGTGTAAGTATACCACATTTTACATAAAAATTGTTGCTGATTTTAGGTAGATTTTGAAAAATCACTTCACAGTTCCAAAGCAAGGATTTTCCAGAAAGCATTTTTCTATCTCTCACTCAGAAGAGCAATATCTGTATCTCAGAGGAACATATTTCTCCTACAGACAGTCTAAAATATAATCTAAAATAAGCAATTTTTAAGGACCTTCAGTTTACAGAGCTTTCTCTTTAGGTTTATGTGGTCATCTCCTAGTGCCTTACCTTCTGGAAGGGTAGTATGGTAAACTACTGGACTCCAGGGACTGGAGAGCTGGTCCACATGCAGCCGAACTGCAAATTCATACATGGTTTTTGGCTCAAGACCTTGAACTAACATGTGAGTCTCTGACCTGTACAGATGAAAGAATAAAATAAATTTAAAAGCAGCAGTTGATCTGAAGATCCCAAACTCAAATGATATCTCTCAGTCATTATGAGTGGATTCTCACTGCCAGTTCAACACAGGACAAACCAGCTCAAGTCTAGACATGTGGTCCATCTGTGCTGTCTACCTGAGTTTGTAGATGTCCTAAACCTGGAGCTCTCTCAAAGACACTACGTCTGCTTTCTGCTGACCTTGAGCTCAAATTTTTATAAAAGTTCTCTGGACAGCCGATGCACAAGCATATTATTGTCTAGATTACCAGCAAGTATCCCAAACTCATCTCTTTCCACATTTCTCCACAGGACACTATGCTTCAAGCTGGAGCAGCACTCAGACTACACCCAGCACCACAGCTGTTGTACAGCACATGCTGCTGGCTCCATCAGCTATTCCTGGATCTGGTTCTCAGTCCACAGAACAGAGGCTGTGTGTGCAACTTCCCCTCCTGCTTATGGCCTCTATTGCCTTATGTTTAGGGTATCTCTGTAGAATATGAAAGTTCCCTACTTATCTTGCAGTCATATTTGGTAACTTATTCACTGTAAAATTGATTGTATTAATTGTAATACTGCAGTTTACTATGTGACCACAAAGTCAGTTGTATACATTCTGCTTTATTTTGATTCTGGGAGAACAGGGGAAATCGTTCATATACACCAGGGTTAATTCCAGTGATAATGCCCAAGTCAAGATTAAATCTCAATTTAAAATGGCATCACTCTACAGATATTGCTCTATTAAATCTCATTTAGTATTTTCATCTTCCCTACTGCAAAGGCAGTCACCAGTATTTGCAATGGTCTCATCCTACCACCAAAAGCAGTATTCATTTCTATGCTCCATATTGCACACTAAGAATTTTACATGGTGATTTTACTGTGTCTAATCGTTAAGTCAGGCATTATACAGCAGGGGATGTGTTCTTTGAAGAGAAAACCATCAATATTAGGATGGAAACTGTCTTTTAAGACACTATATTGCTTATTTAGAAGGCTTGAGTAAACTCAAGTATCGAAGGAGCTACACACATAGGGACTCTCTCAACAGCACCATGGCCTCCAGCATAGGCAGTCATAATGGAGGAAGGTCTTCTGCTCCCATACCACCTGGGTAGAGAGCTAAACACCAAGCCTAGGGAGAACTTCTTCCCTGTTCTGCCATTCTGTGTCTCATTGCTTCTCTGAAAAGCAAGCTGTAGTTCCTACTTGTCTTTCTCCTGGCAGAGTGTGACACACTCAGCAAGGTGGCACTTCCACACTAACATGCTCAAAACTCAAGTCTTCAAATCAGACACTGGACTAAGTCCCATCCTTGCCCAGACAAGCCACATATGAAATAGGTATTCAAATTTGTTTGGTTGAAGAAGAGCTTAAAATTAAATTCAAATTAGACAGCTAAAAAGCCATTACAAATTGAAGAGCTCATCCAGGGATCCAACACCAGAATCACAGGCAGAGTACAAAGCTGTTCTATTAACACATCTTAAGTAACCCAGGGAACAGAACCAACAGCCACTGGGCAAAACACACAATCCTCTAAGGGAGTTAAAAGTTGTTACAGTAGAAGGCTATTAAGAGAGGGCAGGAAGAGCAGAAACTGAGCAGGGATGATCTGGAAGTGGGAAACCAAGACTCATTAGTAGTGCTGCACTTACGTTTGAAGGTAGAGAACCAGAGAAGCATTCTGCAGCCCCACGGGGTTGCAGCGGATTGTGTAGTTAATGACTTGTGCAGATGTAAAGGCAGGCTTGCCCCAGTGAAGATAGATGGACGATGAAGTGTTAGCTTTGGCGTAGAGGTGGTGAGGAGGTGGTGGTGGTGGCACCATGCGATCACGGACAGCTGGTTAAAACAAAAAAGAAGCATGAATTATTTAATGAACTGTATATAAACACTGGTAAGATTAAGAGACAGGTCTGAGCCCACAGGTTTAGATTCAAATCTGCCCTACCCAGCATTACCTGGTATTCAGACCCAAAAATCTAGCTCAAGCAATTAAAGATCCATCTTAAACCAATACATGTTACATATTACTTCTGTAGTCCCACCTTTTTAGTCAACAAAAAAAGTCACAACTATAAACAGAGACAAGGGAGAGACATAAATTTCTCATAAGATCTGGTTAGATGTTGCAGACAATCCAATAATGGAGGAAAATGTGCTTGGTGGCTATCTTGTTTCCTGAGCTGTAGTTCATGAACAAAGGGGAGTGTCCTAGTTGCAGATGACAAGGACAGTGTTTGTCAGAGATGTGATCTTTCCGCTTCTCCGTTTTACAGTGAATTAATTATTTCTAGGTTAAAAACACAGCACTGCTGGGACCTTGAGCTGCTGCTCAGTTCCTACAGCACTTACAGACACATCCTGGAGTGCTGACTGTTTGGTCTGCCTGATAACCTTCTTCCATACTGTTATATGCCAGTAGCCTTACATGATACTTTCTTCTAGGATCTGCACAAAGAGAAAGCAATAATTAGACTCAAGTGAAAAAAATAAGGATTTGCAGGCATATACAGATAGTGAGATAACTGGAGTCTCCCCCAAGTTTGGTTCAAAAGTTGCCCATTATGATCAGCAGACTGCTATCTCACAGTCTTGCTTCCAATAGCCTGTAACAGAAGTTTGTAACAGGAATCAGTGGGAGCAGCATAAATATCACATTTCTATCTGTAACAAAATCAAACCTTCACAGCTACAGAGCTAGATTTAGTAATGTGGTTCAGCATATGGAAAGTGCTTTCAGTCTATAATAAAGATTTGTTAAAACAAACAGCACGAGGTCCACAGAAATCAATGCATTAATTTCTGAGTAAAGAGGCTGTAATGATGCAGGACAATCGAAGCAAAGGCAGGAAGACAGGACCTGGCAAAGAAATGGGACACGTTTTGGTTCCAGGTTCCCAGAGGAGATACGCTACCAAACAACAGTGATGGTTAATAATGCCTTTGGCCAGCAACTTGCGCTTCCAGGCGCGTTCTCCAGAGCCGGTTCTGGCATTCCAGCTGTCTCCAGCTTGAAGCGCCTCCCTGCTTCCATTTCTCTGGCCCTGTCTTTGGGTACCCATGCTGCAGTTTGCTCTCTCTCTCAGTTCTATTAAATATACACTGGTCTTGATCCAAGTGAAAAATTACTACAGAGAAATGAGTTAGAAAGGGGCCCTGAGCTTTCTGCAACTGGAGATGGTGTGGAGCACCCAGGGGTGGTCAGGAGTGCACGGCACCAGGATGGCTGCACTGCCGCCCTGCAGCCCACTCCCTTCTGACAGCATCCACAACAAATCCATGCAACGATGATTTGCAAGGTGATAGCATTTGATACCAGTACAGTACATACGAGCTCTTCTGGGTTCAACTAAACTTCACCTCAGTACTCATGTAGGTGTAAGGACATTCTGATCTTCTCTTGTCATTAACCTATTTCTTTCTATTAAGATTTTCAGAAGGCTCAGATGTTATGTAACTGTGCTGATCTTGTTTATGTCATTTTTCCATGCCCAAAAATACCATAATATTATCCCTTCTCAAAATAAGCTCTCCACTTCCTCATTTTAGCTGAGATTTGACATGGCCTCTCTCATGAAATAAACGAATACAAATCCCTGACATTTCTTCACCACAACTAGAACTTTTGTTTCTGTCGAATCGTCAGCTCCCTCTGCAGTCTCTGCACCAGCAATACAATCTTAACAACTCTTGATTTGATGTTTTAATACGGTGTAGTCATTTCATAAGAATGCATTTTGTAAAGTCTTTTCATATCTATTTTGAAATAGACAATCTTTTTGTGCTGTAGTTACCAATATCAGCTTTAAAGGAGATATTGATAGGTGGAGTTTACATCTCTAAGTACGTTTATTTTTAAAAGGCTATTTTACCAAAATCTAACGATAAGTGTAAAAGAAAAGGGGCTCTTAAATTTGGATTAAAGTATTTCTTTGATGTGTTTAACACTGATGGTAGAATCAGACAGAAAAGCCTATTCCCATTTTTCAAATAGACTTTAACATCACAAGTAGACAACATAAATAACAAAATGCCAGAAAATGATAGGGCTTTTTAAGCTAAAGTAAAATTCTCATCTGCTTTGAAGTCGGTTTTTTTTTCACTTTACCATATAATTTCAACAGATGGCCTCAGTTGCTCCTAGCCAAGAAATTACAATCAGAGAAAAAGAGATGGACAAACACACACAATGACCATAAGCATGTGATAAAAGAAAATACAGAATTTTAATATTGAAAATTCAGCAAGGTAGTATTATATGTAAATCATTGCAATCTCTTAAACATTTGTGAAGTAAAAAAAAGACATTAAGGGAAGGTGCATTTAAAAACACTGAGCCCAACCAAAAAGGTTCAAAAAGCGCAAAAAGGCACTTCAAAACTACCAAGTGATTTGAATATACTGAAGTCAAGTTATGGTGACTTAGTGAGGCACATCCCAGCATGCATGTGAGAAAAGCACAACCATGTACCTTCCCAGGCTGCTTCACCTGTGGTAGGAATACATCGACTTAGCACATAACAAACATTCCAAAAGAAAGCCAAAATTTTAAAAAGAAGCCATCAAGAGATCTCTCAGCTCTCATTAGGAATATGCTTTGGAGGTTGTTACAATAACCGATTGCCCTATCTATTCTTAGAAAATCTTGAATTTGGGTACTATTGAGCAAACCCTTGAACAGTCCACATAAACAGTCAGCATCCAGCCGGCTGAGTGTCACAGTCTGTCTTCTTCACAAGTTCCCGCAGAAGAAACCCCTGCTGCATTTCTACAACACACAGGATGACAGACATGACAATTTATCATCCTGCCAAGCACCTTCAAAAACTCTGTGCCCTTTGAAAGTGGTCACCCAGAACTGATCATCTTCCCTGTGAAATGAAGAATAGCTAAGGTCTCGTGCCCTGCTGAGCTGAATGAGGAGCCTGTGAGGTCTGTTTATCCCCATTGACTTCCCTTCCCCCCAAAAAAAACCCTGAATTCATCATTAACACTTGATTGGGGAGGAGAAGAACGGGATGTGGAAGAAAGGCAAAAAACGTAACTCACATAAAAAAAAAATTCAACTGTCTTTGAGAAAAACCCTTTTTTTAAATCTTGTGTCTTAAACACTCTACATTTAGAAAAAGCACAGTGTTGAACACCATCCATCTTACTCTCATATAATGCAAGAGGTTTCAAAAATAATTATCTTTATATAGAAGAATCTGTTTAAAAATAGAGTCCCTTAACTAGTCTCTACCATCTAAAAAATAAAGTTATTTCCACTTCAGGACATCGTGGTTCAATTGGCAGCAAAACTAGTTCCTTCCTAAAGTGATGCCAGATTTAAGAATTTTAAGCACGTTACTGCTTCTGTGGTTGAAAAACCATCTATTGGTATCAGCAGCAACTAAGGAGGGCAGCCCTATGCACTGGCCTAAAAAAGCCTGAATGTTATAGTAGTCTAAAAAAGAGAATATAAAACAATTTTGAAGACAGTACTGGGCAAGCAAAGAAATTTAAGTGAAACTTGCTTCACAGATGACATGTATAACATTAGTGAAGACTAATTCAAAGTACCTGCTGAGATGCTGCTCCACGTTGACCACAGCTTTACCACATGCAAAGCAAGATAACCAATAGCCAAAGATCTGCCTCCAGTTCCAACAGATACTTGCACACTGTTTGTTTTATGAAGTGGTGGAAAATACTTTTTTTTTTGTCTGAAATAGCCTCTGTTTAGAATATTTCTAACAACTGTTAGCTTTATTTTACAGGAGTTACTCCTCAATGGCAGTCCCAGTACAAACTTGGCATAAACATTTCCATGTAACAGTTCCTCTGGATCAAACTTTCAAAGCCAGACATATCCTTAGAGAGAAAAACTTCAGGAGGCTCCTTATCTTCACCCAGCACAGGCATCCTGAATAGTTTATACCTAAGTCACTGCTAAAAGATTGAGGATAGCATGGCCACCTGGCGGGCTGACAGTCTGAAATTTAGTGTATGCCATCTATGTACATTATACAGCAACAGGAAGCTCGAGAAGCTCAGGAAACAACAGACCTAGAAGTAGCAGAGCTTTCCCTGGAAGAGCACTGCTATTCAGAAGCAAATTAGGTGCAGTGACTTACTGAACCCATTCAACATGTAAGTCCAGTTTAAGTAAAAAAAAAAAAAAAAAAATTCCTCACATCAAGATTTCACCTCTGCATTTTCAAAATTTCTCTGAACAGCTGGTAACACTGGGTCATTTTTGTTTATTCTTTTGCAATTGTAATTTCCAGCATTTGTGTAGCAGTTGAAAGCTTGTTCTCAGACCTAAGGTGACCAGAAACAATTTTGTAGCCTATTTACCAACTGGCTGGATTTTTTAGTTAATTTGGTTTTGTTGAATGTGGTTTGTTCCAGGGTTTTTAGTGCTGCTGGCATTAGGCTGTTTTAAAATTGTCATAGCACCTACAGCTTTTTAATAGGCATTTTTATTGTTACGACTTAAATCAGCTAGTGGGAAGGATGTAAAAACTACACTGTTTGTACAAATCAAGAGGCCAGCACTGTTGTTGGATAAGCATGGTAATTCATAAATATTATTACAAGAGTGCCTCTGGAGTACTCAGAGACTTATAGGCTGGATGCTATAAGCTGGCATAGCTTCACACAGTACAATGGATCTACCTTACACACCTTTTTTTGTATAACCAACACCTGTCAGTACTAAAAACTACACAAATAACAGCTCAACCAGAGGCACAAATGTCACCTCTGGTAATAATACTCCTATGAAATATGAGTAGACAAAAGTTAAATATATCTTATATTGATTAACTTCAAATTATCAAAACAGATACTACCCCCAAAAAAATCATTGTTTTACAATTTATGTAGGATCATCCTCACTAGCCCTACAGCAGCTTCTGTAGGTAGGCCACTGCTCCCTGGTGATCCTGCTCTGGAATCCCATACTCTCCCATAAAAATCCATAGTGAGCCCTGCAGATTCTACCCTGATATGTCTTTCAGCAGCAAGACACATGGGGGAGCCTTCTCTTTGTTTTGCAAGTCTGTGAATAGCTTCTACACCTCATAGTAAAACTATGGCAAAGCCAAATACTGCAAGTATGAGGAAAAAAAGAGTTCAACTTCCATTTAAAACATAAAGTGTAACTTAGAAAAAACATTAAACATTACATTAGCTGAGGCTTGATAAGAGATCAGTTGACAATAATTTACTTGTGCATTTTAGTGTCTTACTACATCCAAGAGATAATCTTAGAGATTACGTTCACCTTCTCAGAAAGCAGATATTAACTCAGATTTTTCAATTTTCCTTTCCATAATTTAAGATTTTAATGTTCACATGATATATATTTATCAGTTAAACATAGACTAAACATACGGTGCCCAGTTTTCAAAGCTCTGGAAAACACAAATGGTCTAGTAAATACCCAATGGCAGGCAAAAGCA